GATGAAAGAGGGGAAGTTCCTCAATGAGATGGATTGACATGGTAACAACGGCGATGGACTCAAGTATAGCAAGAATCATGGAGCTGGGTCAGGACCAGGTGGTGTTTTGTTCTGCTGTGCATAGGGTTGCAATGAGTTGGAGATGACTCGACAGCACATAACCACAACAACAACAAACTTGCCTCTAGTTTTTCCTTTATAGTTTTTGGTTTCACATTTAAGTCTTCGATCCATCTGGAGTTAGTTTTTTTTGTATAGTGTGAGGTACAGATCTTGTTTCATTTTTCTGGAAATGGATATCCAGTTGTGCCAGCACTACTCATTAAACAGACAATCTCTTCCCCATTTAATGGATTTCAGCCCTTTGTCAAAGATCAGCTGACCATAGATCGATGGATCTATTTCTGGGTTCTCAATTGTATTCCACTGATCAATGTGTCTGTCATGATACCAATACCAGGCAGTTTTGACTACTGTGGCTGTATAGTAGGTTTTGAGATCCGGCAGGGTGAGACCTCCTTTTTCTTCTTCAATAGTGACAGTATAACAGGCAGGCATTTGAGGCTTTGTAGCCATTTGATTTAGACATAATTCAGATTTAAGCCTCAGACTGAGAGCCCAAAGTAAGTAATACCATGGACAGTGCTCCATTACTGTTACTTAGCTGGGAGGAGCCTTGTGGTGGAAATCCCAAAAGGCTATTAGTTTGAGACACACTTGGGTTTGAATCTTGGCTTTAGCATTACTTAGTTGTCACAATGAACTTGTTAATTGGCCTTTCTGGGCCTCAATTTTCTCATTTATAAAATGGGGATGGTAACACTTGTCTAAAACATACTGTTTTGAGAAGTTACTGAAATGGTCTATGATAATAATAAATATTAGTCTCTTCCCTTTATCTTGTAACACTTGAATTAAAGTTGGTAAAAAAGAGAAAAGAGTATTGAAAAGAAGAATAACAAATTACCTCTAACTTGAGCTAATGCCAATGGTTTAGAAAACAAAGGCTGTCAAAATTGATGATAGTGGTGGAAGAGGTAGAATAAAGCCCATTAAGACTCCTGAAGTCTCCATCCCATCCCTCTAATTGAGGAAGTACTGGGGAGGTGAAGGGAGCTGAAAAGCAGGCATGCTTAGCTCTGTACACCTTCAGCTTGTGGTGCAGGGCTCTGCACTACCACCAAGGGCTGAACTTGGCATTTGGCTCTATGCAAGGGCTTCTGAGTAGCCATTCATGGAAGATTTAGTCTTCCTGGTTCCTTTTGTTAACTTAGTTCCATCCAATTCTCCTCTAAGTTACTGTATGCTACCACTCCTCTAGGCCTGACTCCCTGCCCCTGAGTTTCAGTCTTCCTTCTCTCTTGACTGGATTGTACCCCTTTGTGGAATAGCTCTTCCATGTAGGACTCAGTTTAACTTTGGGTGAAGAGTTGACCAAGATTTGTATTGCCACCATGCTTGTGCAGCTGTAGCTGATTTCCTTGTACCCTATGCTTTGTTCTGATGTTCTAATACCAAACTTTTGCCCAACTCTAAGGTCTGTTGACTCCCCAGGATCTTATATGACCACATTTCACCTTTAAACAAGCCCTAGTTATAATTTCTCTTCTATGCCGGGAGTCTGAAAGCTAAAACTTAGTCTGTATCAGATTGCTAAAGATTATATTTTAGCTTCTTGTGTGGGACTTTATTTTACCTCTATCTGCTTCTTAAAGACATTCACTGCACCATGTCTCTGAAAATGTGGGCCATACTTGAACCAAAGACCAATAATGCTTAGCAATTTGTCACACTTCTTGATACTCCTGGGAAGTAACCATGTGTTAATGGCATCAGTGAGTGGGTGGGACAGGTCTAGATGGAGTACTGGGCTGTCATTGGCTCTCTGCCTTCCCACCAGCATGGATGTAAAAGTAAAATGCAGTAAGTGGCTCTCTGGAATCAAAATATTAAACTTCATTTGGATTCTGACCTTGTTTTCTGGGCATAGGGTATGTCAGTATTGATTCTTCCTTCTGTCCTCCACATTCCTCCACTCAAGCTAATGTATGCCTATCCCCATGGCTGGTCCTAGACACTTGGAAAAATAATTCAGTACCAAATATCAAATTGATATTCTTTAATTATTGGTTCAACATTTACTTACAGGAAAGCCTGAGTGCTATGTAGGGAAGGGCATAGGAGGGGAATGGAAAATGAGGAGCCAGCCCTCATTGTCCATTTTAGGCACAAAGTATTTCAGCCTGACTTCAAACTTGCACACTCTTGCTTCCTATGGACAAGGTCCTGCAGCCTCCAGGCCCTTCTCTCCCTGGAAAGTAGTCTGTAGACCACCTCTGTCACTCCAGCAGGCTGTTGAGTCTCACCCCTCAACATGCTGACAGAAGGTTGACTTCCAATGACATGCAATACTTCTCCCTAAGGGTTCACATAAATTCCATTCCCAGTAATGTTTGGAACCTCTCCTGGCACCAACTTGGCAAGTTCCGTCCTGCAATCTCATTGGGGATTACATATGTAGATCAAATGCCCACATTTTATCAACAACACAACTGCACTCACTGTCTGTCCTGGGAAGCTGGTGGTAAGGGAAGTGGAAAGGAAGGGAGAGTCCTGTTCCTCCAAAATTCTGGTCCTCAGGGAATAGTTGAGGGTTCCTTTCACCTTAAGAGTGATGAACTCCAATGTCTTGGCTTTTATTTTTTAATTTTAGTTCATTCAAATGGAACTTTAAACTATCCATGTTCTTGCTAATCATTTTTGCATACATCATACACTCCTATGAAAGAGAGCCCTGTTCTTCATCCTGATAAATTTTCCTAGATGAAGTTAAAAAGAAACACTAATAACACACACATATCAAATTATGTGTATGAAAATAACAAATTATGGATAACCTTGTGAAGAATGGGAATTTCAGAACACTTAATTGTGCTCATGAGGAACCTGTACATAGGCCAAGAGGCAGTTGTTCAAATAGAATAAGGGGACACTGAATGATTTGAAATCAGAAAAGGTATCTGTCAGAGTTGTATCTTTTCACCATACTTCCTCAATCTGTATGCTGAGCAAGTAATCTGAGAAGCTGGAATGTATGAAGAAGAACATGGTATCAGGATTGGAAGAAAACTCATTAACAACCTGATACCACTTCAGAAACCCAAAGAGGGGTCGCTATGAGTCGAATTGACTCAACGGCAGTGAGTGAATGAGTGATACGCAGATGATATAACTTTGCTTGCTGAAAAGACTTAAGTACTTACTGATGAAGATCAGAGACTACAGCTTTCAGTATGGGTTGCACCTCAACATAAAGAAAACAAAAATCCTGACAACTGGACCAATAAACCAAACCAAACCAAACTCACTAAAGCAACATCATAATAAATGGAGAAAAGACTGAAGTTGTCAAGAATTTAATTTTACTTGGATCCACAGTCAATGCCCATGGAAGCAGCAGTTAAGAAATCAAGCATTGTATTACATTGGGCAAATCTGCTGCAAAATACCTCTTTAAAGAGTTTAAGAGTAATGTCACTTTGAAGACTGAGGTGTGCCTGACCCAAGCCATAGTATTTTCAGTAGCCTCATAAGAATGTGAGAGCTGGACAATGAATAAAGAAGACCCACTGAAGAATAGATGCATTTGAGTTGTGTTGGCCAAGCATATTGAATGTGCTATGGACTGCTAGAAGAATTAACCTATCTTGGAGGGAGTACAGACGGAATAATACTTAGAAGTGAGAAAGGCCAGACTTCCTCTCTCATACTTTGGTTATATTGTCAAGAGGGACTGGTCCCTGGAGAAGGATATCAGGGTTAGTAAAATAGAGGGTGAGCAAAAAAGGGGAACAACAAGATGAATTGACACAGTGACTGCAACAATGGGCTCAAACATGGCAATTATTGTGAAGATAGCCCAAGACAGGGCAGTGTTTTCTTCTGCTGTACTTAAGGTCGCTAGGAATTGGAGCCAACTCTACAGCACTTAACAACAACGATAACACCCCCCCCCACACACACACACACAATTACTTGATAGATTTCTGTATCAAATAGGGGGAAAAACCCTTCAAAATGTGTGGATCAGTGAGTTCTCCGATAAAGATTTAAAAGGGGAAAGATTTGAGCAGGATCTTTCAGAAAGGAAATGTATCTAAAGTACAATTTTGTTGTTATTTGTCAAACTAGACCTCTAGTCCCCGTAAGCGCATGATCAACACCAAGGTAACAGTGTAATGTAATAATAGTGTTTTTACAAATTATGTAAACATACAACACTTTTCCGATGCCTGGAAACAATCTAATTCTGGACCTCTGAGGCCCTCGCACCCAGCCATCACCGAGTGGGGCGCTTCCTGGGCGCAGCTCCGCGCGGCCCCAGGTGAGTTCTGCGCGCTCCCGTACTCGGTCCCGCGGGAGGGGTGAGAACGCAGGCGGAAGGCCGGCCCAGCTTAGTGAGGATAGAGATCCCGGCACTGACTGCAGTTTCCTCTGTGGGGAGCCGTATTTCCAGCCACCTTCGCAGCTCCTGCCCTGGTCCTCCAGTGTTCTTGGGCGTGCCGCCGGGAGGCGCGGAGCCCAACCGGCGCGCTCCAGCCCTGCAGCTCCGGCCGGGGCGGAGGCTGCCGGACCGCGGAGATGCGGGGCGGGGGCAGGGCGCGGGGTAGGTGACTTTATCCCGCCTCTGTTTCCCTGCCCCGGGGAGCAATGACATCACGCGGCCTTCTCCTGGCGCCGACACAAAGAGCGGCGCGGAGAGGCCGCTACGGGGGGAG